CACAAACAAGAACTACTACCAACAATAAGTAAACGAAATGAAAGTAAATAAAGAAAACGAAATAGTATTCACCCATAACTCACATAAACTAATTACTACACGTTATTTCGGATGCATTGTATAACCAACCTGAGGGGCCGTATGGAAGACATCTACTCACCTGTGTGTTAATTAGGAGGTGATCACGCAGGTGTGTGTGTGTGTGTGTGTGTGAGGTAATAAGGCGAGGTCAGAGGTCAAAGGTCACGAGATGATCCTTACATAACGTCACGTAACATCAAGTGGGAAGGGAGATGGGAAGGGAATTTGAGGTGTGAGCGAGAGGGAGGAAGGGAGGGAGGGAGGGAATTGTGGGAGGGAGAGGGAGAAGACGAAAAGTAGGGTGTAAAGGGATAGAAGTAGGGAAGAAGAGATAGGTTAAGAAAGGTATGAGGAAGGTAAAAGAGAAAGGGAAAGAAAGGAAAGAAGAGTTGGAAGAAATGTAGGAAGATGGAGAGAGAGAGAGAGAGAGAGAGAGAGAGAGAGAGAGAGAGAGAGAGGGGGGAGAGAGAGAGAGAGATAATGAGGCTATGACTCCTAACAGAAGAGAGAGGAAAAGCAGGAGGAGGAGGAGAAGGAGGAGGAAGAGAGGCAGGAAGGAAGCGAGCAAGCAAGGAAGGAGGTGCATTACACATCATTACACATAACGTAATACTTTCTTCATTAACCTTATAACACAAAGCTGTTATATCCGGGTGCAACTATGAGGCCACACCCTTCTCTTCTATCTCCTTCTTTCTTTCCTTCCCAACCCCTTCCTTCCTTCCTTCCTTCCTTCCCATTTTTTTTGGGCGGGGGGGCGGGGTGGCAACTCTGTCTTTGTTGACATTCGACGGAAGGAAACTCGCAATAGTAAACAAACTATGAAATCTAAGTAAAATAACATTAAAACAAATATATCAATGTAATAATCTGTGGAATGTTTATATGACGAATCCCTGTAAACGCACTAGTGAAGGGAATTGTACAGTCACCCAAAAAAGTCCTGTCGCGAACCATGAACTCCGAGATTCAGACTACTTCGGGTTCACGAGTCTGAATCTCGGGGTTCGTGGTTCGGGACAGTACTTTTTTGGGTGACTATACAATATATAGTTCAGGATCTTAAAGCATTGTCTCATTTATGGTTCGAAACTGATCTAGTTGGGAAGGAGACAGTGGACATCTTGAAGCAACTGTACATAAAACACACAGAGAGAAAACGGCAGTAAACAGTAGATTATTACAGGTGACTAAGGTAAATGGGAGAAATTGATACTATGATGGTCTGAGTGTTGCCCTGTGATTGCCTCCTGTTGTTGGTAGTATGACGAGCAGGTAACGGCACTGGGGTTATATTTCCCGTGTTTGTTCTGTGTGTGTGTGTGTGTGTGTGTGTGTGTGTGTGTGTGTCGCTGAGAGTTGATGGTTGAGATAGAAATTTTGAAAATTTTTAGAGTATGTCTTGTGACTGATCTGTTACTACTGAATTATTAGTCTCTACAGCAACCTAACCTAACCTAACCTAACCATTCGGTATGGAGCCCAGTCCTATTGGGTCTTAAGTCAGGAGAGAGGGGAGGGGAAGAGAAGCAAGGGAGGAGAGGGAGGATAGTAGTAAAGAAGGAGAGGAAAGCGAGTGGAAAGGGAAGGGATAGGTGGAGGAGTGGAGGGGGGGATAGAAGCTGGAGGGTGGAAGCGGGGGTAGCGGGTGAGGAGAAGGGGAAGAGATGGGGGTGAACAACACTACCTGGGATCACTATGCAACAACAATGGCCAGACTGCAAGGTGGTAATCTGTCTTCCGTCCACCTGATTGAAATACCTGCCTCCTCCTCCTCCTCTTACTCTTCCTCCCTGCCCTTTCTTTTTCTTCTCCTTCCTTCTCCTCTTCATCCCTTCATCCTCTTCCGCCCTGCACCTGCCCTTCATCCTATTCCTCCTCCTTGCCCTTCTTTCCCATACTCATCCTTCTCCTCCTCCTCCCTTCCTTCTTCCTCCTCCTCTCCTCATATACTCTACTGTACCCTCCCCAGGTACGGCCCTTCTGTCGGCTACCACCCGGCTGTCTACGGGCCTGGTACTGTCTCTCTTGTCTCTAGAGCTCGTCAACAGCACCATGTAATGGCCCCTGTCTCATCAACAGAAGTATTATATAAATGGGTTCTTACATCTGATTTATATTCAGATTCACCCCCTGTAACTTTCCACTACCTATGAGTAAGACATGAGTTGAACACGTGAATGGTAGATTTCCCAGGAGGGAGAAGCCCATATGTCAGCATCTATGTAAGTGCGCACTAGTGAGATGCCTTAGTCAGTCACTCACACCAACTTTTATCGAACGGACGCTGATTCACGTTTATATACAATAAACGCCGTCCTCTTTCTCATTCACTCATAAATACTGGAACTTACAGTTGATCTACACTCAGGAATTATAGACATAATCCTTTTATAATAAAACAAGAAACGTCAATTGGGTTTCGTTACTAAAAGCCCAATATATATATTATATGTATTCCAACCTGGTTAGCTGGGGAATTAACCAACGTAACAACCATCAGTTATCAGGGCAGCTACTACAGTCCCCCGTCAGCCAGGAACAAGTGAGGTACTGTCTACGTGGTTGAAGTAGGTGAGGAGAGGAAGGGAGGGGAGTTACTGTCTACTTGCTGTGGGTTTATGAAGGCTGTTGATGCTGTCTCTCTCTCTCAAGCCCCAGATAATAGAGTCAGACATTCCTCACCATTACGACACACCCCTTCAGGATTTAACTGAATCAAGTAGTCTCTCTGATAACATAATGGGTGTGTGGGGGGGCAGTAACACAACCTTGAGATAACGTAATCTTTCCTAGCCCACATTGGCGAGTTAGTTGGCTTTGTGTAACCATTTTGTTGAAAGCCCTGTTACTCTTTTGCCCTCTTGCCCACTTGTCCTTTTGCCCACTTAACATTCTTACCCTCTTGCCCACTTACCCAGTTACCATCTTACCCTCTTGCCAGCTTACCCTCTTGCCCACTTACCCTCTTGCCCACTTGCCCGCTGGCCCTTCTCTAGCGTCAATTCATCCTACACCCTCACACCTATGATCTATCTATCACTCTACACTAACTTTTGGAAGTGAGAGAGAGAGAGAGAGTGAGAGAGAGAGAGGACCTAGGTAGCTCCTCCTACCACCTGTCTCACATACCACGACGCAGGTGAACGGTGTCTACCTGCCCGAAGCCTTACACCTGGGGGACAGTTTGTCTGGGCGGTGCAAGGGGCCCCGGTGGTTGAGTTTTGGGAAAGTGGGTGGAGGGTTGTGGGTGGTAGGTGGGCAGAGGGCGGTGGGTGGGGATAGGAGTTAAGTGTGCAGTAGGAGGTGGGGGATAAGCAGTGGGCGGTGGATGGGTGGGTGGGTGGGGACAGACTTCAGTGAGTAGAGGAAGGGAGAGCCAAGGCAGAGACGCATTGGTATATGTTCTACACACACACACACACACACACACACACACACACACAATCACACAATCCTATAATTAAACCCACAGGAAGTATGATAAAAGATAAGGACGCATTCAGCTCCCAACCCTCCCTTGTATCCTGCCATGTGTGTGTGTGTGTGTGTGTGTGTGTGTGTGTGTGTGTGTGTGTGTGTAAGCAATGACCACAGGTAAACAACTCACCTGTACACATCCGCCTTTCGTAATTATTATAGTACCGACGACAACATTACTTTCTCAACCTATCATGGGAGAACTGTATATGCGTCACACAGCTCCATGAATGCCTTACCTGACTGATTCTCTTGCTGTACACTATATTGCCAATGACCATAACTGATGAACTCAAGTCACTACTCATTTCTTCCGCCATAATGTAGGTCGCCATCGTTTCAGTGGCTTGTGTGTTAAACTGATGGGATTTTGCACACACACACACACACACACACACCTATATGTATAAGGAATATATACATTATACATATACTTAATACGTATCAAAATATGGAATATACATCAATACATACACTGTATTTTATTATATTTTTGTATATATTTATGGATTTCTCAATAAGTTCGAGTTAATGATGGTGTATGGGAACTTGGTCGTCTCGTTTATATTACTGAGCCTTATTCCTTCTTAAACATGTTGGGTGTTACAAAGCGCCTGCTGGGTGATTTAGGTGAGTCGTCCCCCGCCCTCCCCCATCCCCCCTCTCAACCCACGGTCACAGTGTGTAAGGTTAAGGCGTTTGAATTTTAATTTGGTCGAGAAGAAGAAGAAGAAGAAGAAGAAGAAGAAGAAGAAGAAGAAGAAGAAGAAGAAGAAGAAGAAGAAGAAGAAGAAGAAGAAGAAGAAGAAGAAGAAGAAGAAGAAGAAGAAGAAGAAGAAGAGAAACGAAGGAGAAGACGAAGAAGAAGAAGGAGAAGGAGAAGGAGAAGAAGAAGAAGAAGAAGAAGAAGAAGAAGAAGAAGAAGAAGAAGGAGAAGAAGAAGAAGAAGAAGAAGAAGAAGAAGAAGAAGAAGAAGAAGAAGAAGAAGAAGAAGAAGAGAAGACGAAGACGAAGAAGAAGAAGAAGAAGACGAAGACGAAGAAGACGAAGACGAAGAAGAAGAAGACGAAGAAGACGAAGAAGAAGAAGAAGATTACGTTAGGTTAGGTGAGGATAGATTAAGTTATGTTAGGTTAGGGCTGGTCAAGTTACATTATGCACGAAGGTATTCATTTATATGTATATTTATGCTCTACACTCTTAACTGAACACCATCATCCACTTAAGCACCTTCATTGGAATATCGCCCCTCACTCTACGTCTCTCAAGAAAATAACAATTCAGTTGTTTAAATATTTATCTACACTATTGTGACGTCAGGATATAGTAAAAAAATAAAATCAATAAATTACAATATCAAAACAACACAACAGCTGATCAGATGACAACAAAAGGATGCGCCTGACCTCCCCGCGCAGGTTTCCGAGTCCCCGCATTGATCATAGAGTACCAGCCAGTCGTAACTTGGTACTGTGGCACTTCAGACGTTCAACACCAGACTTGTGAGAGATCTATCTAACCTGGAGGTGAGTCTTGTTGGAAATAAAGTCGTATTTTTTGATGACAGGACGGCAGGATAATACACATTTATGATGGATATTTTTCGACCCTATGACCTATTTGTGTACTAAGGTTTATCCATGAGGTGTCTGTTGGTTAGGTTAATCATGCGTGTAATAGGGAAGAATTTTATGAGGGCGAGTCCAAGTGTTTTATTTTTTGGTTGACTAATAATTTATACATTGTCGTGCGTTTTGATGGAGTATGTCGTTTTTTATGAGTTTTCATTCGTTTTTGTGAGTTTTAGGACTGAACTCACAACAGTACTAATTATTGAGTCATTCGGGGAATAATTACATCTTAGACGCTTTAGGAAAATTTATCTTTTAATTGGCATAGAATTGTCTCTATATTTGGTTAATAAGAAATTGGAATATTGTCTCTATAAAAAGTTGTCATATTGGCCCTATTAAAAGTTGCCATATTATCTCGAAAAAAAAGTTGCCATATTATCTCAAAAAAAAGTTGCCATATTATCTCGAAAAAAATAGTTGCCATATTTCGCCTATAAACTGTTGATGTTTGTAGTCTCATTATTAATACGCAGGGAAGAAGAGAAGTAAACATTATTAACAGTATCTACGACTCCTTAATAGGTCCAAGTCTCAGAGTGAGATAAGAGCCTGACCCTCACCTCTACTTATTCTCAAAATGTTCTTTACTGAGTCTTCTCCTGTTCTCTCCAAGCTGTTCTGACTATCTCTATACTGTCCATTCAACCCAGCACCACCACTCGCCCTCCACCATTCAACCCCCACCACTCATCCTCCACCACTCATCCTCCACCATTCATCCTCCACCACTCAACCCCCACCACTCATCCTCCACCACTCATCCTCCACCACTCAACCCCCACCACTCAGCCCACCACCACTCCATCCCCTCCACCACTCATCCTCCACACCATCCTCCACCACTCATCCTCCACCACTCATCCTCCACCACTCATCCTCCACCACTCCACTCATCCTCCACCACTCATCCTCCATCACCATCCTCCACCACTCATCCTCCACCACTCATTCTCCACCACTCATCCTCCACCACTCATCCTCCACCACTCATCCTCCACCACTCATCCTCCACCACTCATCCTCCACCACTCATCCTCCACCACTCAACCTCCACCAACCTATACGAGGACACCAATAAAGGACCATAACTTTTACATACGAGTACATGACTCATTTACATACATGACTCTCATTTACATACATGACTCATTTACATACATGACTCATTTACATACATGACTCATTTACATACATGACTCATTTACAAACATGACTCATTTACATACATGACTCATTTACACACATGACTCATTTACATACATGACTCATTTACATACATGACTCATTTACATACATGACTCATTTACATACATGACTCATTTACAAACATGACTTTTACATACATGACTCATTTACATACATGACTCATTTACATACATGACTCATTTACATACATGACTCATTTACATACATGACTCATTTACATACATGACTCATTTACATACATGACTCATTTACAACATGACTCATTTACATACATGACTCATTTACATACATGACTCATTTACATACATGACTCTTTTACATACATGACTCTTTTACATACATGACTCTTTTACATACATGACTCATTTACATACACCCTAAACTATTATATTGTACGAAACTTTTCATGTCTCCCTTATGTTATATATCTCATCTCTCACCCTACCCCCTCTTCCCTCCCTACCCCCTAACCCCACTCCCCCTCTTCCACAACACTGTTAATACTGCCATGTAAACCTATGGTGTGTGTGTGTGTGTGTGTGTGTGTGTGTGTGTGTTGACAAGGGGGGGGGGGTTTATGAAAGCAATAAATTTATAAGATATATTAAATAATTATCCAGTATAAATTAGGTACATTTCAGGTTACATAGTGATGGTAATAGATAAGTGTTATTTCTCTTCACCTCTCAGTTCTTCTCTATGTCAATCCCCCATTTCCTCCTCCCCTTCCTTTCCATTTTCTTCTTCTTTAACTCCCCTTCCTCTCTTTCCCTTTCGCTCTCCATCTCCCCATCATCCTCTCCTCCATTTTCACACATTTTCTCTTCCCTTTACTCTATCATCCTTGTCCCCTTTCCTCGTCCCATTCTTTTCTCCTCCCCTCCTCCCTATCCCTCCCACTGTTCCTCCCTCCTAACTCCTTCCCACTTTCCTCCTTCCCTATCCCCTTTCCTCTTCCCCCCCGATGAAATACTGAAGGGATGCCAGATATAAGTTGGCACTTCTGTTGCTGACACAAACTGGCGGTCATAAGTTTACCCACTGTAGCCAACCAGGTGTTCCGGCCATTCATCTGAGAGAGAGAGAGAGAGAGAGAGAGAGAGAGAGAGAGAGAGAGAGAGAGAGAGAGAGAACGTCTATTTTCTTCTTCTCAGATGTTCTATGGACCCTTTTAGCACTGATGATAAAGACAGACTGTTTACAAATATCTAACTACAATAAAGATGTTTGTTTACGCATCGGTAATATCTAATTAACTACAGTACAATATTTACACTTATCGTTGTTTGTTTTCCTCCGAGTTCTAATATGTACTGTATGATATGTGTTTACTTTTGTTTATATTCCTTTCTATGCTGTATGTTATTGTACATTATGATGACTTCCCGATAAAGTCACCCACCCAACACTGGGCGTTGATGACTATACACTACAGCACATACTAAGAGTCGTTTATGCCTCCACAGCGACCCTCCGTTTTCTTCCACACTGAGACGAGATGAAAGAAAACGCTACACTGAAGGGTCTTGTAAGGCCAGACCTCGCTAACTCTTCAGCAGCCTCTAATCTCGCCTTCAACGAACAGGTAAGTTTGATATACAGGGCCGGATTCAGGAGTGGGCAAAGTGGGCAGCTGCCCAGGGGCCTCCACAATCTGGGGGCCTCCACATATTACAATATTTTATTTAGTTGTTTATTCATTTGGATTATTTTTATTTTCATTCTTTAAAATTCATGTTTATCTATTCCATCACGTAAAACTATGTTCAGCAAAAAGCGTGATAGAAATTAGGCTAGCTACTCCTTGAAATTCATGAATACCTGGTTTTCCTATGAACCGAATATTTTTAATGAATGCTATTGTTTGTGTTGCTAATAATATATTTAGAACTCCACAAACATATATTGATTAAAAATGAACTACATGGAATAACGAAATTGAGATTTAAAAAAAAAAAAATTATCACTTCCATTACGAATGCCATCAGGGGGCTGTGTTCTAATTTCCTCAATATAACTGCATATGGCTTCAAAATTCTCCAAAGAAGTGTTCAAATTTCAAAATTTTCCCAGGGGGCTTACAGTGCCCCCCGGAACTCCCAGATGTTTAGGCTCGCTTCACTCGCCACCCCACCCTCTTGGGTAGTTATAATGAGGGGGGCCTCCACAAAGAGGCTGCCCATGGGCCTCCACAGGTCTAAATCCGGCACTGTTGATATAACTTCAGGATATCAAAGTAATATTACAAATGCTGTGTTTTCTTTATTTTAAGATGATTTATGCTAATAAAACTCGATTCTTAACTCAAGAATATCTAAAACATGGCGAATCATTCAAACTGTGTTAATACGGGTAATAATAATAATAATAATAATAATAATAATAATAATAATAATAATAATAATAATAATAATAATTCAGTAAAGTCATAATATAAGTTAAGCATGTATAAACTATACAAGGGATCATTTATCACCAGACAGAACACAATTTTCTCACAACAAAAACAAGGAGAATCACCCAAACATAATTCAAGAATGTGGGAATTCCTCCATAACATTTAGGATATTATTGAGGTAAAGAACAAGTTACTTCTACAGAAAACCATCGTCAGGTGTCCTAGAGTATTATCAAAACGTTCTATAAAAATCGCTTCAATTATGCCTCAACTATATCGTGTGTATAATATTAAGGACATTGACTGAAGAGACGAACTTGTGTGACCACTGCAGTAACACCCCTGACCCCCAACACACACACACACAGCCGAGTAGATCACATAATGTCACGTAACATCGGATAACTTCTCTGGCTGTTACAAATTACCCAGTGATCACTCCCCCACCCCCAGTCCTGAGCTGGTTGATATCAGTGCAAGATATATTTACATTAAGTTAAATGAATTACATAAACACTCGAAACTAGTGATTACCTTAAGTGACAGTAACGGAGTTTATATTACATCATTACATCAGACTACGTACACAGTATCAAGTTAGGATATGCTACAATATAAACTGGTACTCAAGGTTTGCTGATGTGGATGGAGGTCAGGAATTAATGGTGGAGCTTGGTTGGTGAGCTCCTCCATGATCGCTGGTGTTTACTGAAGGTGTTGAGTGTTGTGTTTCTCTGGTCACGATCGTTAAGGAACTGACGATGGTAGGTCATTTGATATTCAACGGTAGCTGGTAGAATGCGCCCGCTGATAAAGGAACGTAGACTTGCGCAGGAGTAATATATAAATCAGGAGTAATTATTTATAATTCAGGTAACTATTAAATATTACTTTATCTAAATATAACCTAAATTAAATGCAACATATATGTATGAATCTTTAGCTAAATGTCTTACATTATTTCTATCGTTCTGCTACTCAACAAACTGTACTAGATTAGTAACTATCAAAATAACATAGTCCTCTTGATGATCAGTGACCAGCCTCCACCACTACAGGTCAAGGCGCTCATCAGGTCTGGGCGGAAAGTGTACCATTTCGCCTTCGGACAGTCGCCTTTCCCCATCCCTGAGTGTATGACGAAGGCGGTGCAGGAGTACGCCCACGTGCACGATTACCTGCCCATGGTTGGTGAGTACTGCTACCTGCCGGTTTGGTGTTGAAACAAGAGTCACCAAAGAGTGGAAAAAAAAATTCCTCATGAGTGAAAAAACATCCATCAGTCATTTGAGGCTTGACAGTACACACCCAAAAATTAGTAAACTCAGAAAGAAAAATATATGGATGCCTTCCTCTAACACACATTTGCTCTTACGGCAGGCATCCCCGAGCTGCGTGAGGAGCTCGTTAAGTTCCACGCCCGATACGACAACCTCAGCTTGAGTAGCGACAACTTCACGGTGGGTCCCGGCAGCAAGGAGCTCATCTTCCTCGTCATGGCCACCTTCAACGGAGGTGAGGACGTTTAGGGCACCACAACTCATCCTTAATAACTCCTTACGCTACCACAAACAGATCACCTACAGACGCTTCTGCAGATAATATCCTAATTTGCCTCCTTCAGATATCCTCCTGCCAGCACCTACGTGGACGACCTATATGGCTCAGTGTCGCCTGGCAGGGAAGGAGCCGCGGGTATTGGAGATGAAGCAGGCAAAAGGTTGGAAACTCGCGCCAGAGACACTGGAGGAGGCGGCCAGGCAGGGAGGCGATGGCTGGAAGCTCCTCGTCCTCACTAGCCCTGGCAACCCGAGTAAGTCACACAGCGTCTTATAACATTTTGGTAGACCATCTCTCCTGAAAAGACAACCAGTGAATACGGGTCTTCGCGTGATATATCTGGAGGTGTTTGTGTTGGTCGTAGTTAAGAGTCACATATGAGAGTATATTATCAGATAACAGGTACACATATAAGAAGTTACAGTGAAGTATTACAGGTATGAATTAAATGGTAACTAATTACATTTCTTCACCTTCTATTGGGTTCCCGTTCTAAGGGGCTTAACTCCTAATGGATCCCTGTCCCAATGGGTGCCTGTTTTAATAGGTCCAAATTTTAATGACTATATTTCCTCCTTGGGACACTCTTTCATCGACAAACAAGGTATAGAGACATTTATTTACTCATAACATAGATGAGAATGACACCTTAACTCAGTACCTTCGTCTTCCCTCACCCCAGCAGGCACCTGTTACACTGACGACGAGCTCGACGCCCTCAGGTAGGTGTTGTGCCCTTGTCTCTCGCTACTTTGTCTGTACTGTACGTGAAGAGTGAACCTTAACTGTGTGTGTGTGTGTTTTCTCGTATTTTTCGTTATTTTTTTAATTCTTTCACCTGGTTGTTGAAAGCGCCGTGTGTATGATATAATTTGTATAATAAGGCCTTGATAAAGTCTATTTATCAGGTGTTAACTGTGTAATGTATATGCCCTCGTTGGGTGTTCCTCAGGTGTGTATTGTGTAAATTAATGGTCACTGTACTCGTCATTTACCTGTAGAAAATCTGCCAGACAGAATGACTGTGGATACATTTCCCCTTAATAATAACTTCTGTCGTCTGGCAGCTCGGTGTGTCGGCAACAAAGAATTATTGTACTGAGCGACGAGATCTACGCTCGCCTTACCTTCAGTAGGAAACACGCCTCTATGGCAATGGTGAGTGATGTTTACACACACACACACACACACACAAACACACACAACGTTTTTCAACATTTCAGAAAAAACTCTAGCACACTGAACAGATTTTAGAGGAAATATGCTTACCATTTTATTATTAGTATTTTTTTTTTGGGGGGAGGGGAGTTAAATAAACATGATAAAACATTCAAATATCCTGTGTCTTTCACTTCACAGATCACTTATGGTCGCCTAAATGCCTTTTGCTCTTACCAAAAACATAGAAATTTAGGTAACCATTAATATAATAAATTGATATATAAAGACAAACATAGATTGAAAAATATTGACTCATAAATACTTGAATAAATAATTTTTTTTAGTAGTTAGTCTGGAGAAGCTCCCCTAACCCGCCCCTTCTTCCTGCACCTCCAGCACTACCCAGAAGGCACCATCCTCATAAGCGGCTTCAGTAAGTGGGCGTCAGCGGGTGGGTGGAGGCTCGGCTACGCCCACTTTCCACCCTCCCTCCGCCCTCTCCTGGAAGCTGTCAGAAACGCCGCCTCCCACACCTACTCCTGTGCTCCGGCGCCTATGCAATATGGTGTAGCCAAGGTGAGAGGAAGTGTGGGTGAGTAGGTGGGCGTGATGTGGAGTGGATTTGTGGGCATGTGGGCGTGTAAAGAGATGAATATATGCTTAGGATTCTCATTTATTTTCACAATGCATAATATATGGTATTCACGTCTCCTAAACATTATTATACTGTACATTAAATTCATAGTTTAGTCATAATCAAAATAAAAGAGTTACCCCTGTTTCTATTTTTATCAGGCATTAAGAGAAAACGGTAACGAGCTGGACAAGTACATGACCAACTGCGCTAAAATACTACAAGCGGCGGGAGACTACTGCCATAGGTACTGTACGCTCTGATGGTTTTATGCTACACACACACACACACACACACACACACACACACACACACACACACACACACACACACACACACACACACACACACACTAGCTGGGGAGCCCGGAGTTGCTTGAGTGTATTTTTAAAAGGCAGTTCATAACCTATGTCGGTGACTACACTATCAGCTACACTCACCTGTGGAGGCCCATGGGCAGCCTCTTTGTGGAGGCCCCCTTCATTATAACTACCCAAGAGGGTGGGGTGGCGAGTGAAGCGAGCCTAAACATCTGGGAGTTCCGGGGGGCACTGTAAGCCCCCCGGGAAAATTTTGAAATATGAACACTTCTTTGGAGAATTTTGAAGCCATATGCAGTTATATTGAGGAAATTAGAACATTGAGAATTTTTTAATTAACTGTATATTTATTGATAGTGTACAAATTCCCATCAAACACACACACACACACAAGTGAGACATGACTGGAGTCATAAACAAATAAATAAAATATTGTAATGTGTGGAGGCCCCAGGGCAGCTGCCCATTTTGCCCACTCCTGAATCCGGCCCTGCCTCCACTACACTACACTATCAGCTATACTCCTTCCACTACACTATCAGCTACACTCCTTCCACTACACTACACTATCAGCTATACTCCTTCCACTACACTATCAGCTATACTCCTTCCACTACACTATCAGCTACACTCCTTCCACTACACTACACTATCAGCTATACTCCTTCCACTACACTACACTATCAGCTATACTCCTTCCACTACACTATCAGCTATACTCCTTCCACTATACACCATCAGCTATACTCCTTCCACTACACTATCAGCTACACTCCTTCCACTACTCTAACAGCTCCCTCTCCCAATTTAGACGTGGGGGGGGCTACCAGTTCCACTTTTAGGAAGGCAGGTGCTAATTTTAGCTATTTTAAAAAATGTATCCAGATATAACAGCCAAACAACCCAACAAACAAAAACAAACAAACAAATATAGCCCTTTATATATATAATGCCCCAGATGACAATAAGATATTTAGGTAAACACTTTCTCTTAATAATGCTAAGCATGACAGCAGCTCTGTTCACACACAACATATTAAAATAAAAAACATTGCCAAAATGTTATGTGTTATATTGACTCTCTCTCTCTCTCCTTGGGACACTTTCGTCTTCTCATTGTACACTCTGCACAGTGTTCGTATACTGGAAAAATAAAATAAGAATTCACAAGCGTAAATCACCTTACCTCGCACCAGACTTTCTCTGCCTCGCTCTACTGGTTACCATGATATTAAGTGTGTTTGTCTGTCAACTCATATTGGGAATTATTTCTAAAACAAATACTTAACTAGCGGCTCTCGTAAATAGTTTTACTGCACTAAATTCCGGAGGCAATGGTTGACATTGTTTCTACAGCAATTATGTTTATGTTGTTGGTGGTGACCTTCACTGCTGGAGGGAGTCGGCCATGAAACGCCGCCGGAACTGATCCTGACTGCTGAGTAGTGAGTCAGTAAGTGAGTACCTGGCTACAGGCGGGTGTTCTTGAAGCTGTGGCCAGACCACACCCAACCGTACTTAACTGGGCTGTTCCAATTGTACCCCCCTCCCAGGGAACTCGCCAGCGTGGGTGTGGACGGCTGCAGGAGCCAGGCAGGATACTATTTCGTCCCGGACTTCGAGGTGGTGAGAGAAGGACTGAGGGCTCGAGGCCTCACCACAGGGGACCACATGACGCAGGCGATGCTGGAGGAGGCAGACGTGGCGGTAGGTGGCGTGGGTTTACTACTGCAGGAGCTGTGTGTTGTGTTGTGTTGTGATGGGCGATGGGCAGTGTGTTCTGATGGGTACTGGAGTGTGATAGTACTGATGGTGTGTCTGTTGTATGGCTAGTGGCGACGGATGGTGGTTAGTAATGTTGGGTGTTGTAAGTGTTGCTTTGTGCTTTCTTTTGGTAATGTTGGGTAGATGTGTTGAGTGGTGTTGCATGTGTGTTGTGATGTCTGTCAGGAGGTGATAATATTTGTTGACTTGCTTAAAACGTGTCTTTATTTATGTTTACAAATGTATATGTTGTTCCTGAGATAAGTGTACTGTACTGATGTGTTCATAAAGACGCACACACACACACACACACACACACACACACATACACACACACACACACACACACACACACACACACACACACACTAACCTAAGTCGCCTTCTCTTTCCATTCAGCTCATGTCCACCCACCCCTTCCTGCGACCAGCCGAGGAGCTCACTACCCGCTTCTGCTTTGTCTGTTTCGATGGCTGCAGCGCCCTCAGAGCCCTGGATGATCTGCCGTCCCCAAGTCACCATCTCTCTGACGACTTCCTCCATAAACACTGCCTCCCCATCGTCCAGGGCATCCAGAACCTGAAGGAGTGGGTGCTGAAATATCGCCAGGAATGAGAAGGAGGAGGAAGGGAAGCGAGGGTTGGTAAATGAAGGAGACAGGGAGGAGAGTGGATGGAAGAGGATGAGAAGATAAACAGAGAAGTGGAAGAAGAGAGTTGATGAACGAAGGTATGGAGAAGAAGAAGAAGAAGAATATAGCAGAATATAATTGTCTTAGAATTTACAGAGTGAAAAAATAGGCATTAAGGTATTGTTGGAATATAAACGTAAGAAACAAATGAATACGTGTCAGACCGTGAGAACACAAAGTCACTATTTGAAAGTTGTCGTGAAAATTGAAATTGCTATAACACGTAAGACATTTCAATTATATTATTTATAAGACATTGAAGACATTAATCGTATGCTGATATAAGAAATCTATTTTTCAATGTCTAGAAATTTAAATGAGTTTAATGAGTTACTTAACGAAAATAAACGAATATTTACTTAGTTTTGTGAATAGAATTTACAAAGTTACGTTAATTGATAAAATGATAAATGTAGAGTATTAAATATAAGAAAATATGATAGAATAAACATAGAATAAGAATAGTAATTATGAAGATTATTCTGTTAAATAATAGCGTTTGTTTACTGTTATGCAGGAGGGTGTACGGTCAGGTAGGGCCTCAGTCTTGATAGGTGCTAGTTCTAATTGATCCTAGTTCTAATAGGCCCCAATCCTAATAGGCCCCAATCCTAATAGGCCCCAATCCTAATAGGCCCCAATCCTAATAGGCCCAAATCCTAATAGGCCCCAACCACAGGCCCAATCCTAATAGGCCCCAATCCTAATAGGCCCCAATCCTAATGGCTCCAATCCCATTACTAGGCCCCAATCCTAATAGGCCCCAATCCCAATAGGCCCAAACTTAATAGGCCCAAATCCTATTAGGCCCAAACCCATTGAGGCCCCAATCCCATTAGGCCCTTCAATCCTAATAGGCCCAAATCCTAATAGGCCCTAACTTAATAGGCCCCATTCCTGGGTCAGGCCCCAATCCTATTAGGCCCCAATCCCCACAGGGCCCCATTCCTAACAGGCCCCAATCCTAATAGGCCCCAATCCTAATAGGCCCCAATCCTAATAGGCCCCAATCAATAGGCCCCAATCCTATTAGGGCCCCAATCCTAATAGGGCCCCAATCCTATTAGGGCCCCTGAATCCTAATAGGGCCCTCCCTAACCCTAAAGACAGAGCCACACCTGCCCAGTAACACACACTCAGGCAACACACACCAGCACACACACTCAGGCAACACTACCCAGGCAACACACACTCAGGCAACACACACTCTGTGCAACACTCACTCAGGCAACACACACACTCAGGCAACACACACTCAGGCAACACTCACTCAGGCAACACTCACTCAGGCAACACACACTCAGGCAACACACACTCAGGCAACACACACTCAGGCAACACACACTCAGGCAACACACACCCAGGCAACACTCACTCAGGCAACACTCACTCAGGCAACACTCACTCAGGCAACACACACTCAGGCAACACACACTCAGGCAACACTCACTCAGGCAACACTCACTCAGGTTACAACAGAACACAATATCTTTCTCACAGCTAAAATCACAGCAACAATTTCTTGGGAAGTTTTACAAATTATTAAGTAAAATAAACCTTGTTATCTCAATCATTTATATGTTTAGTATATAATTAAACCTGTGTCAATAACGAGTGAAATCTCCAATAATGTTTAAGGAGAGTGACTTCGTTTATTACCTAGTTCAAGGATAATAGCCTCGTTTAACATACAAGTCACTATGATTTTTCGATCTTTAAAAAACCCAAGCAAAACATCTAGCGTGATTCTTTTGTTTTATAGAGTACAAAATAGAGACAAAATGGATTGAACACCATAACCCTGATATAACAAAGGGATCTGATCCTTTATAAGAGTATAGAAAGGTTTTATATTATTTCTTATACAGTATATAATTAATCTATATATAGCATTATATTAAAAACTTATATATGCGGTATAATTAATTGTATATTTGTGTCATGTCAATATTCAGGTATCTTGTTTATTAATATATCTATTTTCATTATATAGATGTGAATTATAAATAAATTTTTAGTATTATTGTTTTGTTAATGTCCTAATTTTGTTTCATTCCTTGTTTTCTTTCATTTATTGTTGGTTTTCTTTCATTCCATCTTTGTTTTGTTTTCATTTTTCATTTTCTTTCATTTTTCACTCGTTTTCTTTCACCAATTCCCTTTTTGTTAATTACTTAAAAATAAACTAAAGATTTTCTTAATTGATGTAAATCAGAAATAATTATATTAGATTAGTAGGACACCTGTAGTACACGTAATAACAACACCTGTAGGACACGTAATAACAACACCTGTAGGACACGTAATAACAACACCTGTAGCACACGTAATAACAACACCTGTAGGACATGTAATAACAACACCTGTAGGACACGTAATAACAACACCTGTAGGACACGTAATAACAACACCTGTAGGACACGTAATATCAACACCTGTAGGACACGTAATAACAACACCTGTAGGACATGTAATAACAACACCTGTAGGACACGTAATAACAACACCTGTAGTACATGTAATAACAACACCTGTAGGACACGTAATAACAACACCTGTAGTACACGTAATATCAACACCTGTAGGACACGTAATAACAACACCTGTAGGACAAGTAATAACAACACCTGTAGGACACGCAATATCAGCACCTGTCGGACATGCACACCTGTAGGACATGCACAACAACACCTGTAGTACACGTAATAACAACACCTGTAGTACACGTAATAACAACACCTGTAGTACACGTAATAACAACACCTGTAGGACACGCAATATCAACACCTGTAGGACATGTAATAACAACACCTGTAGGACATGTAATAACAACACCTGTAGGACATGTAATAACAACACCTGTAGGACACGTAATAACAACACCTGTAGTACACGTAATAACAACACCTGTAGGACACGTAATAACAACACCTGTAGGACACGTAATAACAACACCTGTAGGACATGTAATAACAACACCTGTAGGACACGTAATAACAACACCTGTAGCACACGCAATATCAACACCTGTCGGACACGTAATATCAACACCTGTAGGACACGTAATAACAACACCTGTAGGACAAGTAATAACAACACCTGTAGGACACGCAATATCAACACCTGTCGGACACGTAATATCAACACCTGTCGTACACGTAGCCACATATCAACACCTAGAGGACACGTAGCCACATATCAGCACCTGTAGGACACATAATATCAACATTTCCTTTAGCCTTGGAAACGTGTCGGACAGGTGAGCCGCACGGGAGACTTGTAGTGGCTATGGACGAGTGATTCTCCTGACCTCCTTGTCCAGGTGTATGGAGGAGGAAGAGGAAGGGGAGGAGGGGGGGAGAGGAGGAGGTGGTGGGGAAGAGGAGGAGGAGGTGGGGAAGAGGAGGTGGGAGGAGGAGGTGGGGAAGAGGAAAGGGGAGATGAGGAGGTGGGGAGGAGAGGAGGAAGAGGTGGAGTAGTGGAGCTGGGGGAAGAGGAAGAAGAGGAGGAGGGAGGGAGGGGTGGGAGGGGGGGGAAGAGAAAGAAGGAGGAGGAGGGGAGGGAGGGTGGGGAGGGGGGGGGAAAGAGGAGGGGAGATGAGGAGGAAGAGGAGGGGGAGATGAGGAGGAAGGGGAGGGGAAGGAAGTAGATAAAGAGGGAGGGGTGTTACTACAACTACCATCTACATTCTACTTGTTCATTCTGAGGAGAGAGTTGGCACTGGTCCCTACACCTGAATGGGTCACGGTGACTTACCTGCGTCCGGTGACCTCTATCACCTGAGGCACACAAGGAGGGAAAGTGAACACCTGTGGGCACAATTACCTGACATTAAACCAGGTGATAAAATAGTGCCCGTCATGTACTCCAACAGGTGAGTTATGAAAGAGGTCATTTATTACCTCTGTGCACCACACCTGAGGCACATAACGCAATGAACTAGTACATGACCTGATCTCCCAGGGATCTAGTTTAAAAGATAGTTAATTCAGAAGAAATTTAATAGGTCATATCAGGTCATGAGGTGAAAGGATTCGCGTGACCTTTAAGATAACAGGTAGAGGGATGAATGACCTCTTGTATTACTTAATAGGTCATACCAGGTCATGAGGTGGTGATGGTAAGGGGAATCCCGTGACCTCGTAGGTGTCACTCCCTCCCTGGCACACGGGTCACTGGGTGGCACTGGATCATGAAGGCCCTTGTGTGTTCGTCACGGCGCGACACTCAACAATGATATGCAAATTACCAGCTCTAACCTCGATAAAACCACCTACCTGGTATTTTTCATTATCAGGTAAATTACTATAGTTACCTTAATTGACAGGTAAGCAACAAATGTATTATCTGTTTTTTTTTTACACAACCAACATCCGTGAACAACAAAATAAAAAACACTAAAAAAGAATCAGGAAAATCAACACAACTTCACCCAGGTCGAGTTTTCCTACTTGAGCAACGAACACTTCCCAGCGACCAGTTTTGTGCGTTGTTTCACCACCACCACCACCACCATCAGCCAGCGACCACTTTCACTGTCTCGAAAATATCAGAATTCTTATCACACGAAGGGAGTGATTGTGTGTATATCTTGAGAGGATGATGATAATGATGATGATGATGATGATAACAACCACAATGATAATAAATATAATGAAAATAAGGAAATTAATAACAATGATAATCTATTTTATGTATTTCAGTTAAGTATATTAGTTGTATTTTTATATATGAATTTAATACGTACTAATAATTCTGTTTATGTATGGGTGTATAGTTGTATGTTGAATGTGTTGTATTATTTGTATTTTTTAGTTAGTTTATTGTATTAACAGGTGAGATACAACGATACACCTGTGGTCTGCAGGTGTTGTGATGACGTAACTATTGGCTGTAGATGTTGTGATGACGTAACTATTGGCTGTAGGTGTTGTGATGACGTAACTATTGGCTGTAGGTGTTGTGATGACGTAACTATTGGCTGTAGGTGTTGTGATGACGTAACTATTGGCTGTAGGTGTTGTGATGACGTAACTATTGGCTGTAGGTGTTGTGATGACGTAACTATTGGCTGTAAGTGTTGTGATGACGTAACTATTGGCTGTAGGTGTTGTGATGACGCAAGTTCCTCTCTTTGTCGTGTGTTGAGTTAAGAGTTTCATTTATTAAAGTGTTTAGGTAAGAGAAATCACTTGAAGATTAGCCACCCCAGCTTATTACACCTTAAGAGTGAACACCTTGACGCTAACTTAACCTAACCTAACCTACCTTAACCTAACCTAACCTACCTTAACCTAACCTAACCTAAGCTACCTTAACCTAACCTAACCTAACCTACCTTAACCTAACCTAACCTAACCTACCTTAACCTAACCTAACCTACCTTAACCTAACCTAACCTACCTTAACCTAACCTAACCTCCCAAAGTAGTGTTAGGTTGCTTAATCATCAGGTAAAATAGCCTGGGGGGTTTTGATCTTCATATGATCCAATAATATATGGGTAATAATGACTGATTTATCTTTCACATATTATTAAGAAAATTATGCTATAGATAATTAGTAAGTTATTAGTGAGATTATTTCTGTTTTTCCCTTCTTCGTATCAACTTCTTACATTCTCTACTCGTCGAGGAATGGGGGAGAGGGAGGGAGAGGGAGAGAGAGGTAGAAGGAGAAAGGGTGAGAGGAAGAGGGAGGAACAGCACATCACACCACTGCCCGCGTCATTCGCTCAACAGCTGTCGGTGTGGTAGTGTAGGACCCCGTTGAAGTCTCTCCTGCCAGCCAGTACTGTGCGGCGTCGCGTGGTGGGTGGACGCTCGGCTGGGCCACACCGCGTCTCTTCACTTATACCACCCTACGCCCTACCACGCTATACTCTGTGATCTCAACCCGGGTAGATTTAAATTCTAGTGTTATCTATATATATCTTGACGGTATATAAACAGTGAAATCTTCATCATGAACTATTAACGAAGAAATGTATAATTGGTCATTTTAAGTGGAAACTACTTGTGTGGTCGTGTTACGCTTAACCCTGCCGTGTGTTTAGAAGAAAGCGAGTCATTTGATTTAAGAAACAACAAAAATAACATTACTGTAACTAATAACTCGCAATAGAGTGATTTCCTTTACAACTTTCCATAGAACAGTGTTGAAAATATACCATGAACTGATAAAAAGAGACGTGATGTGTGATTTGCCGAATGAGTTTACTGGCTCCATAAACACGATGATTTGGTTCGGGAAATTACGAAGATTTTTGCATATGATTATTTCTTGAAGGACATTTTGTGAACATCAGTACGTCAGATTATGCAAATTGTCGTTAGTGAGAGAGAGAGAGAGAGAGAGAGAGAGACAAAGGAAAGAGTAAAGAAAATAACAATAGACCCAGAGTAAAAGGAAAGGAAAGTGTGACGGAATAGTGAGGGGGAAGTGGAACGGGCAGGTGTTGTGTAGGTGAGTGGGAGGGTGGATGAGAAGGGGGGGTGGGAGGTGGACCAGGTATAAACAGAGGAGGAGGCATCCCACACACCTTACCTTTCCTCCTTCCTCTCTCACTCACTCCTCCTTCCCTACCCCCCACCTCCCTCATTCCCCACCTCTCTATCTCTCTCCCTCCCTCACTCCCTCACGTGCACCACCTACAGCCGGAAGCTCTCGTAACGCCGCCACCAACAATTGTTTGTATTACAGGGGAAACAGCACTAAATAATTCTGTTTCATCTTGCTGTGTAATTTTTTTTTTCGTTTTTAGCATGCTCTATAATTATACTCGTATATAATTTTCATCTTATGTATTCAATAATTATACTCTATTATTGAACTCAAGGGATTATATCATCATACTCAAGGTGTTAAATCATCATACGGAATTAGCTCATTGTATTCAAGGGGTTGTTAAGTCATCATGCTCAAGGTGTTAAATCATCATACTCAAACGTGTTAAATCATCATACTCATTGGGTTAAGTATATGTATTCAAAGGGTTTAGTCATCATACAGGATTAACTCATTGTATTCAAGGGGTTAAGTTATCATGTACATAGGGTTAATTCATCATATTTTAACACAGGACCTTTGCTCAATTACCTGTCCTAATTAGCCACATCCTTGGTCACCTGTGTACGGTAATTAGTGTTACCTTGTATAGCTAATTACTGTAATTAAGATTTAAATATGTGTTTATAATTATTTACCTTCTGATTATTCTTTTTCCCTTTTCTTCATATTTTTTGTCTTTCTTCTTTATCTTTATTGTCTTTTTGTTCTTTTTCTTCTTGTTCTTAATCAGTTATCCTCCTCTCTTCTTCTCCTTCCTTCTTTCTTTTCCTCGTTTTTCTCTTGTTCACCATTTATCTTCTTTTGTACCTTCTTATTCTTCTTCCTCTTATTCTTCTTTCTCCTTCCCTCATCATCATCATCTTCTTCTTCCTCCTCATTATCATCATCTCCCTCTTCTGTTAATATTCTCTCCTCTCTCCCTTATTCTTAAAAGTTCGTTGCTTTACTTAATATTGACGTCTTGGTTATAAGTATATTTACAACTACTTACATGAGACCAACTGTAAATTATTGACCTTTACTTATATGTTGTAAAGTATTGTTGTAGAAAAGTATATGTAAATCTATATACTTATGTTCATTATATCATATCTTAAAAATAATTGTAAGTAATAATCTGTACTTAAGTGTTATGTTATCTTACTTATAATCATTACTTAAGTTTTTTTTTATACGTAATTGTAAGTAAAAAATAGACTTATAACCCGAATATAAGATGTTATAAGAACTTGTTATCTCACCTGTTATCTTGCAAAGACCTAATAAGTAAAAAGTATCATTGTGTTCATGTTATCTTGAAGACTATCATTGTGTTCTTGTTATCTTGAAGACTATCATTGTGTTCTTGTTATCTTGAAGACTATTATTGTGTTCTTGTTATCTTGAAGACTATCATTGTGTTCATGTTATCTTCAAGACTATCATTGTGTTCTTGTTATCTTGAAGACTATCATTGTGTTCTTGTTATCTTGAAGACTATCATTGTGTTCTTATTATCTTGAAGACTATTATTGTGTTCATGTTATCTTGAAGACTATCATTGTGTTCATGTTATCTTGAAGACTATCATTGTGTTCTTGTTATCTTGAAGACTATCACTGTGTTCATGTTATCTTGAAGACTATCATTGTTGTTATCTTGAAGACTATCATTGTGTTCTTGTTATCTTGAAGACTATCATTGTGTTCTTATTATCTTGAAGACTATCATTGTGTTCTTGTTATCTTGAAGACTATCATTGTGTTCATGTTATCTTGAAGACTATCATTGTGTTCTTGTTATCTTGAAGACTATCATTGTGTTCTTGTTATCTTGAAGACTATCATTGTGTTCTTGTTATCTTGAAGACTATCATTGTGTTCTTGTTATCTTGAAGACTATCATTGTGTTCTTGTTATCTTGAAGACTATCATTGTGTTCTTGTTATCTTGAAGACTATCATTGTGTTCATGTTATCTTGAAGACTATCATTGTGTTCTTGTTATCTTGAAGACTATCATTGTGTTCTTGTTATCTTGAAGACTATCATTGTGTTCTTGTTATCTTGGAAGACTATCATTGTGTTCTTGTTATCTTGAAGACTATCATTGTGTTCTTGTTATCTTGAAGACTATCATTGTGTTCTTGTTATCTTGAAGACCATCATATGTTCAGTTCGTGTTGGTGGTATTCCGGGCTCCACTAAATTTCGTATGGTGTCAAACCCTGCCAAATATAGTGCCAACCTTTTATGTATAGTGCCAACCTCTTATGTATAGTGCCAACCTTTTATGTATAGTGCCAACCTTTTATGTATAGTGCCAACCTCTTATGTATAGTGCCAACCTCTTATGTATAGTGCCAACCTTTTATGTATAGTGCCAACCCTTTGTACATAGTGCCAATCCTTTTGAGTATAGTGTCAATCCTCTTGAGTATGGTGGCAAATCTTTGAGTATGGTGCCAACCTCTTGAATATGGTGTCAAGGGTTAACTCATCATACTCAAGGAATTACATCATATCCTTCAACATACACATAATTACTACACTCATCTGTTAACTGTCATATTTTATCAACGGATGAAAGTAATTCCTTGGTCTTTGGGCCTGAATATAAGCCAAGGTCTTTAAACCCTCTTATTAAAAGGATTTAATCTCTTTCCTTCGCATTTAAAGACTTGTATTGACATTCACTTCATATTTCCTTTCACCTTTTTTTATATATCAATTCGTTTATATTTCCTGATTTTTTTTTTGTGTGTGTATTATTGATATAGGTTATGAGTTAAAGGTTATTTCGATACAGTTTTATTTTAGAGGTTTCTTATGGTATTTAGTGAAGGTAAATGTATACATATAGAAATAGTTATAAATATTTACCTGTTAGACTAATCAATATACGTTATTTGGTTAGTAGCTGGTAATTTTTCCTGTTAGGTTTGGTTAGGTTAGGTTAGGTATTTTACATAGTCATTGGAAAGTGTATAATACTAATTCAAGGTCTGGTACTTAAGTGTATTGTAAAGTGGTGTGTTGTAAAGGAGTCAATTTAGTGTTGATGAGTCACTGGTGGAATGACTATACCTACACCTTTCTCCTTCTTCTTCTCTTCCTGCTTCCCCCCCCTCCCTTCCCCTCCTCACTCCCTCCTCCCCTTCTTCCTTCTTCTCCTCCTTTCCCTCCTTCCCCTTTCTTCTTCCTCTGCTTCTCCTCCTTAAGTGAAGTTCCAAATTTTGTTTTCTCTCTCTCTCTCTCTCTCTCTCTCTGGTGGGTCATATAATCTCACCTGTAATAATTAAGTGTAATAATGGATGAATTAATTGCAGTTTCAGGAATAATAACATGTAAAGAGCCTGTGAATAACAGTTAACTTATAGTGCCATATAAACTAAGTCTGATCACCTCTGAATCTTTGATCAAAACTAAAAAAAATGATCAAAACTGAAATAAATTGATCAAAACTGATTTTTTGGGGGGTAAAAGCTGAAATAAATTGAGCAAAATTGAAATAAATTGATCAAAACCAAAATAAATTGATCAAAACTAAAACAAAATTGATCAGGACTTAAAAAAAAATAACTGAAACTGATCATGTTGTGATTATACTGGATTATAATCATAAATATTGATCTAAAGAATCAAAGACGATTATAGAAAAATAGACAAAAAAATGTACATTAGAATTAAGGATAATTCTCTGTATGTGCATTGTAGATATAGACAGATAGACAGACATAGATAAAGACAGATAGACAGACAGATAGACAGATTAATAGACGGATATTTTTTAGCAATTCGTGAGTGTTTTTTTTTTAAGTGTAAATTTATTGAAAAAAAGTAAATAGTGGAAAGTGAAGGATGAAAGACTAAGGAAGAGAGAGAGAGAGAGAGAAAAATAAGATAGAAAATACGATAAAATAAGAGAAAAGGAGGAAAAAAGACGATAAATTGAGATAAAGTGATGAGTGATAATGGTGTAGAGGTGAAGTGTAATAGTGAAGTGTTTGGTAGATGTAATTGAAGTGTTATTGTATTATTATAACGTGTTGGTAATTATCATCGTTCTACCACACCGTTATAATCGCCGCCACACCATCTCTACCACCACTACTACCATCATCAGAATCGAACGTGACCACATCATCTCTACCACACCCTGAACACCTGTACAGTGCCACACCCTTTATCCATCACATCGTCTCTTACCACATCTCGACCATACTCCCAAAAAAATAAGAAGAAATTCCTGAACCCTAACGTGCCACCACATCCTTCTCCGTCTCACCAGTGCCACACCTTGGTCTCCTGCCACACTAGCAATGCCTCCAGCAGCCGCCAAGATGATTACCCCGAAAAGCAAAAGACGTAAGTGTGTTTGTTTGTTTGTTTGTTTTGTCTCTGTGAGTGAATAGATTTTCTTAACTGTCATTGTTGTTTTTGTTTCGTGTTTTTGTTTCTCTTAGATGTTCTATTTTTTCTGTTATTGTTTTTGGTAATGTTTTATTGTTTTGCTGTTCTTGTTTCTTATTGTTTATGACTACTTTTGTTGTTGTTGTTGTTTTTGTTGTTGTTGTTTTTGTTGTTGTTGTTTTATAATTAAGCAGTCGCCGTATACACACACACACACACATGTACATACCAGTTAAATAAGCCTATATACAGTACTATACATACACTCGCATGGGCGTACACAGCCGTTATGTATACTTTACTCATATACACGTACAGACACCCACAAATCCACCCACACCCACAAATCCACCCACACCCACAAACCCGCCCACACCCACACAGCCTCTAAGTGTTACCTTACAATCATTAAATACACACAATTTCGTTAGCTACACGTACACACCTGCCACGTACACACCTGCCACGTACACACCTGCCACGTACACACCTGCCACTTACACACCCACACAGAGCACCCAGCTACACACACGCACACACACACACACACAACAGACTCGTACTAAGCCACAGAGTCGTAACCCGGGGGTGGAGAGCCAACAAGATGCCGGTTTCAGGGTCTCAAGGGGTGCCACCTGTCTCAAGGAGTACCACCTGTAACAAAGGGTGCCACCTGCCTCAAGGAGAACCGCCTGTCTCAAGGAGTACCACCTGCTTCAAGGAGTACCACCTGCCTCAAGGGGTGCCACCTGCCTCAAGGAGTACCACATGTTTCAAGGAGTACCACCTGTAACAAGGGGTACCACCTGCCTCAAGGGGTACCACCTGTAAACAAGGTACCCACCTGACTCAAGAGGTACCACCTGTTCTCAAGGAGTACCACCTGCCTCAAGGAGTACCACCTACTTCAAGGGGTGCCACCTGCCTCAAGGAGTACCCACCTGTCTCAAGGAGAAACCACATGTCTCAAGGAGTACCTGCATGTCTCAAAGGAGTACTCACCTGTAACAAGGTGCCACCTTGCCCCAAGGGTACCACTCTGCCTCAAGGAGTACCACCTGTCTCAAGGGCTTCCACTCAAGTTCTCAAGGAGTACCACCTGCCTTAAGGAGAACCACATGTTCCAAGGAGTAACACCTGTAACAAGGAGTACCACCTGCAACAAGGGGTTCCTCCTGCCTCAAGGGGTACCCACCTGCCTCAAGGGGTACCCACCTGTCTCAAGGAGCCCACCTGCTCTCAAGGGTTCCCCAGACCTGTTTCAAGGAGTGCTCACTGAGGAAACACCTGTCTCAGGCTCTAATTTGCCTCAAGGAGTACCTAATTTTGCCTTAAGGAGAACCACATGCTCTGAAGGAGTACCACCTGTAACAAGTGAGCACCACCTGTAAATAAGGGGTTCCTCTCCTGCCTCTGGCACAGCACTGCCCTGGCGGGGTACCCCACCCTGCCTCAAGGTGTCACCTGCCTCAAGGGTACCATCTCCCTCAAGGGTACCACCTGCCTCAAGGGGTACCACCTGCCTCAAGGGGTACCACCTGCCACCTACAATAATGTGACACTGAACAAGCTCCCGCATTCTGAGAACTAAACTGCTTTAATTAGACGACATGTACAGTTTAGGTTAGGTAAAGTCTGAATAGGTTAGGTTAGATTAAGTTAAGCTAGTTTAGGTTAGGTTAGATTAGGTTAAGGAAGTTAGGTTAGGTTAGATTAGGTTAAGGAAGTTAGATACCGTTAGGTTAGGTTTGATCATAATGAGGTGTGTTTTTATTTTGAGTGGTACAGTTTTAGACAGGTAGCCATTTTAGACAGGTAGCCATTTTAGACAGGTAGCCAGTTAGACAGGTAGCCAGTTAGACAGGTAGCCAGTTAGACGCGTTCTTTATAGCATTAGTGGCGTAGACTGTTAACGGAGACACCTTTGTTAATTCTGGGTCAAGGAACATATAGAGAGTGAGTACCTGCAGGTGTGGTGTATGGTGGTGACAGGTGTGGTGTATGGTGGTGACAGGTGTGGTGTATAGTGTTGACAGGTGTGGTGTATAGTGGTGACAGGTGTGGTGTATGGTGGTGACAGGTGTGGTGTATGGTGGTGATAGGTGTGGTGTATGGTGGTGATAGGTGTGGTGTATGGTGGTGATAGGTGTGGTGTATGGTGGTGACAGGTGTGGTGTATGGTGGTGACACGTGTGGTGTATGGTGGTTGTGACAAGTGTGGTGTATGGTGAGTGATTTTATGTCTCGTCTACCTCTACTCAAGTCTCCCATAAAACACGACAATAACATCATCACGAATACTTTACTACCAATCAAAACACCTAAATGCCAAAGCTACTCTGAGACGCACATTTTCATTGGCATTTACTTGATGTTGGCGTCAGGCCGCACCTCCATTATGTGGTTCAGTTCTGGTGCCCCTATTATAGAATGGATATCAATTCACTAGTGTCGGTGCAGCGAAGAATGACGAAATGATTCCGGGACTTAGAAACCTTCCATATCAGGATAGGTTAAAGAAACTAAACTTGCATTCCCTAGAAAGACGAAGAGTGCGGGGAGATATGATAGAAGTATTTAAGTGGGTGAAAGGAATCAATAAAGGGGATATATATAAAGTTCTTATAATATCCGAGCAGGATAGGACTCGGAGCAACGGATTCAAGTTGGATAAGTTTAGGTTTAGGAGGGAGATAGGAAGAAACTGGTTCACAAATAGGGTGGTAGACGAGTGGAACAAGCTTAGCAACTTTGTAGTAAGTGCGGGAACTCTGGAAAGTTTCAAAAGGAGGCTGGATAGATTCATGGATGATAGAGAGTGGTAGTAACTCTCGACAGGAGCTGCCATGCACAGGCCAACCGGCCTATTGCAGACTCCTTTTTTCTTATGATCTTATGTAACTATTGCGACTTAACGTGGCTGCCTGCTTAATGGGAGGAAAGATGGAAGGGCGTCATGTGTGGTTTTCATCCCGGACACACACACACGCACACACACACACACACACACACGCACAGAGTCAGCTGGTAGAGAGAGTCACGTGCTGTGGTACAGATGACAGCTCAACAACAGTGTACAATACAATGGCCTTGTGACGATGATCTTTTTACATCTAGTTCCATGTGTCTGTGTGTTTACGTGTGTGTGTGTGTGTGTGTGTGTGTGTGTCAGAGGTGTCTAATCTATAGATAGCCCAGACTTTCTTTCGTCATTAAGGAAGTGTTTTGCATGTCGTCTACTAGTTATAAGAACCCAAGAATGGAGGAAACTGCAGCGGGCCTATTGGCCCATACTGGGCAGTCCCGTTTACACCCAATCCCTATTGCTCATATGAGCATCCAACCTATGTTTGAAGCTACCCAGCGTATTCGAGTTAATGATGATATTTGGTAACTTGTTCCACTCGTCCACTACTCTGTTTCCCAACCGATGTTTACCAATTTCGCGCCGATATCTAAATTTGTCTAATTTAAAACCATTGTTACGAGTTCGCTCCTGGTTGGATAGTTTGAGTACCTTTGTAATGTACCTTTGTTTAACCCTGACTTCCATTTATACACCTCTATCATGTCGCCCCTCACTCTACGTCTCTCGAGGGAGTGCAAATTAAGATGCTTTAACCTGTCTCTGTATTCAAAGTTCCTAATGCCCGGGATTAGTCTTGTCATTCAACTCTGGATTCTCTCCAATGATTCTATATTCATTCTGTAATACGGTGAACAGAACTGAACTGCGTAATCCAGGTGAGGTCTCACAAGCGCTAGATATAATTTTAAGATGACTTCGCTAGTCTTGTAACTAACACTCCTTTGTATGATCCCAAATACTTTATTAGCCTTGTTACGAGCAAAAACACATTGTTTACTTTGCTTAAGATTCTTACTTATCATTACTCCTAAATCTCTTGCGCAGTTGGATTCCACAATGGCATCGTTGTTCATCTGGTATCTGGTTTCCCTGTTTACATCTCCTATACTGAGTACTTTACATTTGTCCACATTGAATTTCATCTGCCATTTTTCCGACCATTCGAAAAATTTGTTTAGATCTTCCTGTACTTTTGCAGAGTCCTCGTCAGATTTAATTACACGTCCTATTTTAGTGTCATCAGCAAATTTACTTATGTTGCTGTCTATGCCGATATCTATGTCGTTTATGTATATAATAAATAATCGTGGTCCAAGTACTGAGCCTTGGGGAACTCCCCTAGTGACGTTGCTCCAATGCGATTTAGTGCCGTTTATGCTCACTCGCTGTTTCCTGTCCCTTAACCACGCCCTAATCCATTTAAGGATATTACCTCTGATGCCATGCGCTTCTACCTTTTTAATTAGTCTTTCGTGGGGGACTCTGTTCGAAGGCTTTGCTAAAGTCGAGATATACCACATCATAATTGTGCCCCTTGTCCACCGATTCGAAAACTGATAAAAAGAATGTTAATAGATTTGTTAGACATGAACGCCCACTTGTGAAGCCATGCTGGGAATCATTGATCAACTTGTGCTTCTCCAGGTGGTTTCGAATAGAGTTTGAAATAATTGATTCTAGTAATTTACCTACTATTGATGTTAGACTGATTGGGCGGTAGTTAGAGGATAGTGATCTATCCCCCTTCCTGAAAATCGGTATTACAATCGCTATCCTCCAGGATTCTGGCACGACACCTGTTTTTAATGACATGTTAAACAACTTTGCTAAGGGCATACTAAACTCATCCTTACATTCCTTTAATACTCTGGCAAATATCTCATCATCATAGTCATCATCGTCATCATCCTCATCGTCATCATTACACGGGATCTTACGAATAACTGTGACTTAATCATACAAGTAATGAGCCAGACTTAACCAACATGTGGTTTGGGTGTTAAACCATTATCTTCCTCCTACCTCACGCGACCACAGCCTCACCACGCAGTCCTTACAGCCCCTTGACACAGAGGTCATAGTAGCC